TAGCGTAGGACAAATCTCAGGCAAGAACTAATGGTTGAAGAACGGATTCAGCATCAGAAAAGAGATAAGGGGAGTAGGAATTTGGATCAGAAGCAGAACCGAAAAGAGATTCAAGCTTATTGAGAGCAGATTTGCGAGCAGAGATGAGATGAGAGTGCTGAATTGGATTCAACCTCGGTTTTGCAAAGAAGTGATGGATTTACAGGTAGAGCTACATGTGACAGTGGTTTTCGCAAGTGTACGAAATCGTAGCAAGTTTTTCGCAAGTGTACGAAATCGTAGCAAGTAATATAAAGTAAGTAGAGTATCGTCTCCTCAGGGATTGTATATCAAGTACCAAAATTGTGTTAACCTATTATATTTAAACGGTGATAAGAAAGATTGCTATAAGGAAAATAAATTTAAAGTAAAAACAGAAGGAGATCAAGCACTTAATTTAGGTGAAAAGAAATCAGGAGATTAGACTACTAGGGAATTTGATTTCGCTTAATTCTATCCCTTAATTCTATCCAGCTTATTCTATTAGTTTATTAATCAACTTTAATTGTTCAAGTAGGAGAAACAACCCTAGAGTTACTAACAAGCTCTCCCGATGTGTTGTTAGTTATTTTAATATAGTTAATCACCTATCTTTCAATAGTATAATCAAACTTAGATTAGATCCTTAGGTTTAGTGGTTGTTTTGTGAGTTCATAACCTAATAATCATTAAATTATGAAAACCTCCCTTGAGTCAAACCATATAGCTTCCGCGTCAAGTTATTATTCTCAAGTAAATTATTATCTTTTTCATATCAATAACCCTTCTCCCCCGATAGCGATTAATGAAAAATAACTCAATCCAGGGGAAAATTTTCTGCCTGGAAGCTTTAAAGCAGCAATAATTAAGTTATAACAAGAACAAGAAATAAATCCTTAAATATTATAAACTGGAATCGAATTAAGCGAATTAAGTTACATCAAATCCCTAGTATAAAAGTTTAGCTGGACATAGTAATTAAATAAAACTCATTCATGTTTAAATCATTCATCATACTTAAAGATAATAATGAAAAGAAAAATAAGAAGAAGAGTTTAGAAATAAAAACTAAATCACAGCTGTATGGATGGCTTCCTTGATTCTTGGCACGGATCTTGGATGCTTGAAGTCTTTTAGAGAGAGAGAATTATGTAGAAAATAAGACAAAAAACGAGATCCTTTGCACTGAGAAGTTCCCCTCTTTATATAGAGCTCCTGAAGGTAAGTCTGACTCCTTTTAGGAAATAGAATCCTTATTTAGTGCAAAATCTTCTATATCTTCTATAGGAGATCATGATATTTTAGGCTTTTGATTTCTTCTTATTAGGACCCTTTCTCTCATCAAAAATAAGTCTAGGTCTTGTTTAGTATGTTTAGGAAACTCTACGAGGCGGGCCATGTGAAGGAAAGATGGATTTACGTATTTAGTTCACGCAGTTCTGTCTGCGTAGCACGGGCGTGTCCCATAATGCATGGGCTGGGTGTGCTTTAGTCTGGAAGTCTGGCTAGTGAACAACGGGGTGTGCTAGGCAGCACACCCTGATGAATCCTTAAAGGCACGGGCGTGCCATATAGCCAGGGCAGGGCGTGCTTGCTTCTGTCACTCCCCTCCTGAAATTGTCAATGGGCGTGCTAAGGCATTGACACGCCCTAGATCCATTCTGGCAAGCGGCCGTTGCCTTTTGACACACCCAAGCCGTGGCCTTCTCTTCTGTCTCTCCTTGATTTCCTTAGCTTTTAGCACGGTTGTGCCCTTCTAGCACGGCCTGGGTGTGCTAAAGACTGAGTGGTCTTGCTTGTAAAGTTTCTTTTCTGTGCCAAATTCCTACAATTTCTGCCTTAGATCAAAAGCGGATTAAAAAAGAAATCAAAAGGAAAGCTTTAAAACAAATCAAGGAAGCTTTAAACAAAATTATACTAGAATTGAATTAAAATCAAATTAAAGAAATAAAACTTACTAAAATTCTAATAAAAACTATATTAAAAATTCTTTAAAATTAACACTTATCAACATGCTTCTCTACTTCTTTCTATTCTTTTTTTCTAAGAATAAAGATGGTAGAAGGAAGATGTCACGACCCATTTCCATGGCCGAATCGGCGCTAGGGCCTAGGTAAGCTTAAGACTCCCGAGGCCCGTAGTAAGCCTGAATCACTAAAATTCAATTATCTCAATATGAATTTCCCATTCGGTCCATATTACTATATGCAATAAACCTCATAATTATATTATATTTCGGCCCCAAATTAAACATTTTAAACATTTCATGGATCGCGCCCAATTTGTATTACATTACATTTATAATATATGCTCATAAAATTATTACACTTATAATAATAATACACAACTAGATGTACAAAAATCCTACAACTGCGGAGTTCACTAACAGACAAATATAAATAGGTTCTTGTACGTATAGTTATATAGCAAATTAATCGCTAAAACTAGAAAAAATTTCTTTCTAGCTCTGTGGTGAAGAAACAGAGCTTAAGCCGGATTAAAGAGGAACCTACTTCCTGAAAAGTTAAACAAGACGTGTGAGTTTTATAAGGATTAATAATTATTGCACCACACACGCATTCACACAAATGTGTAAATAATTAAATCTAGTTATCCGACTAGTTATATGATCACGCGGGTAATCACACAAATGGCATCACAACAGTGATAGCAAATATTTACACTTTCAGATAATCACATCACATGGAAATTGGCCTGTGGCGTCACCAAAACCCCCGATGAGTCATCCTCCCACATGGCCCATCCTCTCATGAACATGGCCCATCCTCTCATGAGTGTGCATCAGGGAGTCCGATTCCCCATACATGGCCGACTGGTCATAATCCTCCACGTTGACCAGCCCTCTCATTGTTTTTTCCATTCACGTCTTTTTTTTTTCCATACCACAGGAGGCCACCATGTGGTCTTTCCATATCCATCCATATCATTCATCAGGTGCACACCGGACGGCTGATCTCCCCATACATGGACGGCGATATCGCAAACCGCCCCTCACAAACCCATGGTGACCCACGTTCATCCCAACTCGCACAACAAAACAAGCAATAACATTATCACAACAACAATTAATCAAGCATTGCAATAAATTTGGCCAAGCATGGCAAACAATTAAATATGCATGATGCAATTGCACAACTAGACATTCCATTAATTTAATTAACATTAAATAAAGAAAGTAGTAATTAACAATATATCAATATAAATTATCCTTGGAAAAATAACAATATAATAAATAATAATAATATAATAAAATAATTCAAAGAACTTTATTTATTATATATCTTATTATATATCAAGTTAAAGAATTAATCTGAGTAAATCTTTTAACTTATTTATTAATTATGACTAACCTAACTAAATTCGATCGAAATTCCGGCAGAACCTCCCCTAAAGTTTGACTAAACCACAATTCAACAGTAAAATATCAAAGCCCATCCATCGAGCAATTCACATCAACTCATCCCATCCACCAAAGCCATATTCAACAATCATTCATTCACTCAATTCACAAAGCCCGTCCATCGGGCAATCAATCCAATCAACCCATCCACTTCAGGCTACCACTATTATCCACCATACTCACATATAAACACTTAATAATTCCAAATCAATGTCACGACCCGATACTATGGGCCGGACCGGCACTAGGGCCCAGGTAAGCTTAAGGCCCCCGAGGCCCGTAGTAAGCCTAAACTACTCTACTAACACCAGTAGTCACATACCAAATGAATAATACAGTAAGCCCATACAGTAGGGTTTAAATATATTATTATACAAATCCGGCCCCAAAAATTTAAATTATCTTCAAATTGAAGTTTTAATTTGGGCCTAATTACGATAAGTCCATATTCAGAATATGGGTATACTAATATGCCTACGTCTTAATATATAACATGTCATTCCAAGACGCATACGGGCATGCCTAATTAAAATACACATCCCTATAACTGCGGATTCAATAACAATCAAGATAATAGAATAATTACTTACAGTCCCAATATTTATAATAACAGATAAAAAAGACATTTAATACCGCGGAAAGATTGCAGATGCTTCCGTTGGATCGGTCACATTCCTAATCCTCTGATGATAGTTTGGAGAGAAGGGGGGGTGGAGTTTTTTTTTGCTCCAACTCATGTAAATAATATATAAATATACACCACCAACATACAGTCACCACCGAAATGTCGCCCTATATATCTGAATGGTAACACACAACGGTCAGGCCATATGACATAAACATCAGCACCACAAACAATATCATCTTCAATATATCAACAACACTGGAAATGGTCATGTGGGTCACCGAACCCATGAAGATGCCGTCTCCCCAATGGCCCATCTCTCACAATGAGCACTCAAGGGAGCCCGATCCCCCATACTGGCGAGCCCGGTTAATCCTCACTTGACCAGCCCTCTCATGTTTTTCCTATTCTCCTCTATTCTTTTTCCATACCAAACAGGAGGTAACCCGGTCGTCCCATCAAATCTAAGATCATCAGGCGCTTCAACAACAGGAGGCCACCCTGCGGGCTGCGGTCAGATTCTAAATTATCAGGTGCGCCCAATTAAAGAGACCAAACCTGTGGTTTTTTCATATCACACAGATCAAAGCAGTGGGCACACGGGCGCCCGATTATCCCATTTACCCGGCTAAATTTCATATCATTTTCAGGATCCATATAACATATACCATTCTCTACAAACCCGTGGTGACCACTTTCATTCCATTCCACACAAACAAATTCACAGTATAGTCACAGCCAGATAAATCAAACGATTCATCCAAATGCACAATTATATAAGTATAATTATAATGATCGAAACATAATATATATATGATAAAATACTCATAATATGTTGTAAATATGAAAAAAAATGTAATGTTTATAAATAAGTGTTATGTAGATGCAGTGTTGATGTGCATTATTCATTATTACTCACAGTGATGGAGAGCAAGGTTCTAGCTTTGATTCTGTCCTGGAGGAACACTAAATGGACCCGGGCGATCTAAGAAATTACAAGAACGACACAAAAAGAATAATTCTATCAGACAAAATATTTATTCACCACTCTAAAAAATTTTATTTTATATTCTAACTTCTCCTCTAAGTAATTAAATATGGATATAATTTTCTTTTCTATATAATCTTACTTCCTTCTAACTTGTATTTATTTCCTACCGAATTTTTTATTATTTAATTATTTATTTTTTTTTCTTTTTTTTTTCTTATTTTTATTTTTTTTTTTCTAAAACCGAATTTTTTTATATTCATATTCTACCGAAATTTCGGCAGCATCTCCCCTAAAAATTGGACTATCCACTTGTTAAAATATCAACAATATATCTAATATTTTCCAAACCACAGCCCATCCGTCGGGCAGTCAATCAATCAAATTTCCCATCCTCCATCAATCTTCAACATCACCACACAATTAAAATTATACATTACAATACATTATATCTAAACTACCTTAACTAAATCAACAATAAAATTATAAAGCTATTAACTACTCACATTTACCAATTTAAATTAACTACATTAATTAACTACAAATAATAAGATTACTTTAATTAACTAACATTAACTTAGCTAGATTAATTAATTACAAATGATAATAACATTAATTTCATTATCTAATATTACTAAATTAATTAACTTCAAATATTACTAAATTAATTAACTTCAAATAATAAAAAATTGACTAATATTACTAACACTAGCTTAATTAATTAAACTAGCTACAAACAATTAACTACAACTAACTTAACTAATTAATTACTAACACTAATTACTAACACTAACACTAACTTACTAACACTAACACTAACTTGACTAACTGAATTAACTACAAACCATTACTTTTATTCACTAAAACTAACTTAACTAAATAAATCAGCTAATTTCATTCACAAATCTTAAAATTTTACCCAAATTTATAGTGTTGTCGGAATGCGATTAACCGGAAATGGGGCTGGCGGCGTGGAGAGAAGCGGAGCAGCAGGCACGGTGGTGGCGCGACCAAGTGAAGGCTGTGCTGCTGCCGTGCGCTGAGCGATCTGGCAGAGGGCGGAGCTGCTGGCAGTGGCGCGCGACGTGGGAGGCGTGAGCTGCTAGCGCTGCTGTCTCGTCCAGGGACACAGGCGCAAGTGAGGAAAGAAAGGGAAAGAGGAAGGGAAAAAAAGGAAGAAAGAATGAATGGAGAAATGAAAGAAGTAAGAAGAAGAAGTAAGATAGAAGAAGGTATAGTAGGAGGTAGGTAGGAGGGTGGTGGCGCTGTGGTGTTGCTGGGTGGTCGGAGGCGTAGGGAGTGAAGTGAGGAGAAAGATTGAGGCGTGTGCTGGATATAGAGGGAGAAGAGTCTTTCTAGATGGTTTGAGGTCGAACCGGTTCGGTTCGGCATAAATCTTCGATTTTAATAACTGGTTTTCGGCTTTTTCAATCGGTTTTCCGGTTCGGTTTCTCACAGTAATCCAACACTAAAAATATTAATATTAATTTCTAGGCCTGTCGGTACATTTTAGATTTTAATTAGAAAAAATTCTTTGAAAAATATAAATTCGGGTTGTTTCAGTCTCCCCCCCGTTAATAAAAAAAAATTCGTCCTCGAAATTTTGAAATTTAAGCAGATAAGGATCATAGTATATATGAGGGAAAACAAAGAAGTAATCGTACTTCAACAAAAGTAGAAACCATTTACAAGTGTCACTAGTAGTACCCAAAACTTTTTAAGCATGGAAGGAAAAAAGATGGGGATAATTTCTTTGCATTTCAGCTGCCACTTCCATGTGCATTCCTCCATCGGAATGATTTTCTCATTAAAACTTTAACCATAGGAATCTCCTTAGACCGAAGTTTACGAATCTGGAAATCGAGAATGCTAATCGGTATTTCTTCATATGTCAAATCTTCACCCACTTGAATCTCCTGCGGCTCTAACACATGAGATGGATCAGGAACATACTTTCGTAGCATGGACACATGGAATACCGGGTGTACATGAGAAAACTCGTTAGGCATGTCCAACTGATAAGCCACTTCTCCAATTCTTGCAACTACAGGATACGGTCCAATGTACCTCGGAGCTAGTTTTCCTTTCTTACCAAAACGGAGAACACCTTTCATGGGAGATACCTTTAGAAAGACCAAATCTCCGAAAAGACCAGAAAGACCAAATCTCCTACTTGAAATGTCACCTCTCTGTGCTTAGGGTCGGAGTAGCTCCTCTGTCGATCAAATGCTGTCTTAATCCTGTCTCGAATAATAGGAACCTTTTCAGATGTGATTTGAATCAACTCAGGTCCTACCAGTTGTCTGTCTCCTATTTCCCCCCAACAAATAGGAGACCTGCATTTTCTGCCATACAGAGCTTTATAAGGCGCCATGCCGATACTTGCTTGATAACTGTTATTATAAGCAAACTCGATCAATGGTAAGTGCGTGTCCCAAAATCCTCCAAATTCTAATATGCACATCCGAAGAATATCTTCCAGTGTTTGAATAGTCCTCTCAGATTGCCCATCAGTCTGCGGATGGAAAGCCGTACTAAAATCGAGCCGGGTTCCCAAAGCTTTCTGCAATGACTGCCAAAATCTTGAAGTGAACTGCGTTCCCCTATCCGAGATGATAGATACCGGGACTCCATGAAGGCGCACCATGAAGGCGCACTATCTCTTTAACGTACAACCTTGCCAACCTGTCAGCATTATAAGAGGATCTCACTGGTAAGAAATGAGCTGTCTTGGTAAGTCGATCCACTATCACCCAAATTGAATCATAGCCTCCTGGCGTTTTCGGTAGTCCAACCACAAAGTCCATAGTGATCCTCTCCCATTTCCATTCTGGTATCGGTAATTGTTGTATTAATCCAGAAGGTCTTTGATGCTCTGCTTTTACTTGCTGACAAGCGAGGCATTTGGACACGAATTCTGCTACGTCCTTCTTCATTCCAGTCCACCAATAATTCTCCTTCAAATCCCGATACATTTTAGTGGTACTCCTTCAAATCCCGATACATTTTAGTGGTACCCGGATGCACATTATAAGCAGCATAGTGGGCTTCATCTAAGATTTCCCTTCTGAGATTATCAACATCAGGTACACAAACACGAGTACCCTTCCTGAGTACGCCATCATTATCTAACAAAAAGTCTCCTGACCCACCAGTAATTACTTCTTGCACAATTCTTTGCGTTTGCGGATCTCTGTCTTGAGCGGCTTTAATTCTATCAAACAACATTGGTCTTATTCTGAAATGAGCTAACAAACAGTTTGAAGCAGAAATTTCCAAATTAAGGCCTTCATCAAGCATGCCATCCAATTCTCGAATTAACGGTCTCCTTTCAACCGAGAGGTGAGCTAAGCTTCCCAAGGATTTTCGACTTAGGGCATCTGCCACTACGTTAGCCCTCCCTGCATGGTACTGAATGGTACAATCATAATCTTTAAGGAACTCCATCCCGCGCCTCTGTCTCAAATTTAGATCTCTCTACTCAAAAATATACTTTACACTTTTATGATCAGTGTATATTTCACAGGATACACCATACAAGTAATGCCTCCAAGTAATGCCTCCATATTTTTAGTGCGAAAATGATTGCTGCCATTTCCGAATCGTGAGTGGGATAATTCTGTTCATGCTTCTTCAACTGTCTGGAAGCATACACAATGACTCGACCATGCTGCATTAAAACACATCCCAATCCTACTCTGGATGCATCACAAAACACTACGTATCCTTCATCACCCGATGGCAAGGCTAATACCGGAGCTGTGGTTAAACACTCTTTCAACTTCTGAAAACTTGCTTCACAAGAATCGGACCATACAAACTTAGCATTCTTCTGGGTCAATCTGGTTAATGGTGCTGCTATTCGAGAAAAGTCTTGCACAAAACGGTCTTGCAACAAAACCGATAAATAGCCAGCCAACCCAGAAAGCTGCGAATTTCAGTGACAGTAGTCGGCCTCCGGGCCAATCTGATTTGCCTCAATCTTCTTGGGATCAACCATGATTCCATCCCTTAGATACCCGTGACCAGAAGATACCACATGACCCAAGAAATTTACACTTTCCAGCCAAAATTCACATTTGGAAAATTTAGCATACAACCGATGCTCCCGATGCTCCCTCAGAGTTTGTAGCACAATTCTCAGATGGTGTATATGATCTGTTTCAGTTCTAGAATAAACTAGAATGTCATCTATGAACACAATCACAAACCAGTCCAAGTATGGCTTGAAGACACGGTTCATCAGATCCATGAAAGCTGCTGGGGCATTTGTGAGTCCGAGGGACATGACAAGGAATTCATAATGACCATATCTGGTTCTGAAAGCCATTTTAGGAATGTCTTGTTCTCTGATTTTTAGCTGATGGTAACCAGATCTAAGGTCAATCCTAAGGTCAATCTTCGAGAAACATGTAGCTCCTTGCAGTTGATCGAACAGGTCATCAATTCTTGGAAGCGGGTATTTGTTCTTCACAGTCACCTTATTCAATTGCCTATAATCAATGCATAGGCGAAGTGAACCATCCTTTTTCTTCACAAACAGGACTGGAGCACCCCAAGGCGAAATGCTTGGTCTGATGAAGTCCTTATCCAACAGTTCCTGCAACTGTTCTTTCAACTCTTTTAATTCCGCTGGTGCCATTCTATACGGTGGCATGGAAATAGGTTCTGTGCCAGGAATCAGATCAATACAGAATTCAATTTCCCTATCTGGAGGAAGTCCGGGTAACTCTTCTGGAAACACATCGATGAACTCATTCACGATCGGCATGCTTTCTACGTTACGAGTTTCCATTGTGGTGTCTTTAACCAATGCTAGGTACCCTTGACAGCCTTTTCTCAGCAGTTTTCTAGCGCTAATCGCTAATTGCAGAAATCAGATTATAAGGAGCTATATTCTTGTCCACCCTATAAACAAGTTTCTTGCCATCTGGTAGATTAAAAATAATTTCTTTCCTTCTACAATGGACCTCCGCATCATACTTTGCTAACCAGTCCATTCCCAAGATCACATCAAAATCTATCACATCTAAGATAATTAAATCTGCAGGTAAGTCTACGCCTTCAAGAATAATAGGACAGTTTAAGATGACTGAATTAGTATAAATAGTTTCACTTAAAGGCGTCGATATCAGCAAAGGAACGTCTAACTGATTGGGCACTCTGTCTACTTTCATAGCAAACCTAGGAGATGCAAATGATAGGAGATGCAAATGAATGGGTGGCACCAGGTCAAATAACACCGTTGCTTCCCAAAGAAGACAATAATGAAGTACCTGCCACCCACGCATTAGATGCCTGAGCATCTCCGCGGAGTCAAATGGAAAAGTCGGGGCTGTTGCTCCAGGGGCTGTGCTCCAGCAGCATGCAAATTCTGTCCTGAACTCTGGCCTCTGCCCCTACCAATAGAACCACGGCCCTGCTGGCCAAGAAGTCTAGTACCAGAAGCTGAGGGTGTAGAGAAAGGAGGTCTGGACACACTACCCATGGAAGACTGGGGTGGCACATATCGCGACGGAGGAAATGGGCAGTCTCTAGCATAGTGTCCCATCTGATGGCACCTAAAGCAGGCATTAGGATCAAGATCGCAGTCTCCTTTGTGAGCCTTGCCACACCTACGACAAACAGTCACAATCGGTCTGCTGCTACCTGAACTATGACCACTACTGGAACCACCTGAATGAGTACTCTTTCTTGGCCACTGTCTCCTTTTATCTTTTCTTCTACCAAAATTTCCTCTGCCTTGGAGGTGAGAACTCGAATACTGAGCACCCATAACGAAGGATCCACTCATCCCTGGTACGCCTAGAGTCTCAAGCGGAGCTGCAGTTCTATCAGTTCTATTACCCTTTCTGCCTGAGATGACTCCATCAGAAATGTATTTAGTCTCCATTTGTCTGGCTAGATCTACCACAGCATTAAAATCTTGTCCCCTCTGCTGGAATAGAGTCGCGTACACAACATTCAACCCTCTGATAAATCTGTATAGCTGGAATAGAGTCGCGTACACAGCATTCAACCCTCTGATAAATCTGTATACCTTGGTGGCCTCATCAGGTACAGACCCCGGAGCATACCTGCTCAATTCTATGAATCTG